ACATGACAAAAGAACATAAGTGGTCAATATTAATTATTCAGTTTAGAAAATATTACCCAATTGCCCTACTAACAATATTTATGGACAACGTTCAGTAGATGTATTAGCATAACGTGGAACATCTTCAAAATGAACATTTTGTCTGCATATGATAATTATTTTTAAACCATGCCACGAGTGTAATCGCCCAGCAGATATTTCTGGTGTAAATAGATTAGAACAAGGATGGTTCAGCTGATGTTTTGCAATATATTTTACTCAGCTAAACGTATCTATGAGCAAGACCCGATATTCTCATGCTTCCCCTTGACCAGACGGTTGTTTCGACCGCTTGTTTCCAGCAGGTAAATACACCTGCAGAATATGCGTTTAATCTTGCTCAGCTGTACATAGATAAGAAAGGTCAACATAACCAAGCATACCCTACTGACATGATACTCTGATAGATAAAAATGTATCCACACATACATGTGTTGTTATATTTCATATACGTTGTCAGTAGACGACCCATCCTCCTGAGAGGGTACGTAAGTCCAAATCTTCAAAGTCAATTTAGCTCTACCAAACTTTTAATCGTAGTATAGTTGTTATTTTTAATAACGGTTAAAACTCAGCACAGTCACCAGCAGCTGAAGGGATGGTGTAAATTCATCCAGGGCCTGTGCAGGTAGCCAAAGTACTGTAAGTCCCCATGGTCCCTAGTATGGTGATCTACCTTCAGTTGTTGGTGATCTATAGCCCGTTGTTTTTTTGTATTGTCTATAGTGATTAGTTTTAAATGTATATCTGTAATGTTCTGGTATTTGTACTGTCCTTCGATGACAGATTTTTACATTATAAATTTATTGATTTTAATATTGACATATATTAAATTGTACTCGTCGCGGAATGGCTGAAATATTGCCGATGTGACGCTAAATATAAACTCACTCACTCACTCCGTAGACGACCCACCAACAACGACCCAAGCTCTCAGTTTAGAAAGCTAAAACCGAGACGAAGCTTGTGGTCATGATTTGTTTATCTATTACAAGAAAAAATGCGATAAATTCTGCGAGGGAAACGTGTCTGTTGTCTGACCTGCTTCCTTATCTGGGAGATAACAGGGGACGCCTGGACATGCACGGTGCAGATCGTGCACGCGTGGCAACTGTTGCTAAGAAGGTCGCACGGCGCCAATCTATGTGGCCAACCTTCAGTGCAATGAAATTTAAAGACGCAAATTTGCTTTTTGGCACATTCTCAAAACGATAAATGGGTCTCGTAAAATATGTTGGATAAAACATGTAACTCTTGAAAATTTGTCTAAATATCCTTTTCTATTTCGAATTTCAAACTTAAACAAAGCGAATAGTATCACTAGCAGTAACTTCACTGGAAAAGACATGGGACCGATTGTGATGGAGGACATCTGTCACAGGGACAGGGACAGTTGAGGGTACTCCCGTATCACTAGTAGTATGTTTGCTGGAAAAGGTGGGTTGTAGGCAACTCACTGGACGCATCTGGCCAGGTCGTTCTATAGTTCTACAGCTGCAGCTGCTCCCCGATTTGTCTACTATCCTGCTTGCTGTTCAGGAGACAGCACAGGCGGAACTGGTAGGAGGCATGGAGACATACAGATTGATAAGTGAGCCAAAAGATAGGAAGATGTGTTCTCCTTGAGGATCTCATTAACTCACTGACCTGGGTCAAAAAGAAATGCAGGAACTTAGCTCCCTCCTAAAGTGTGCGTCTCAATTAACACGGGCTGTCTATATGTTTCACAACTGTTCTCCATCGGCTAAACGCAGGAAATAACACAATTATGAAAGTGCCTGCCGTCCACGCATCCCAGGCACTGTGATTCGCTGCGCCCCCATGTCCTGCTAGAAACCTAATAATCAAGGGTTCGTGGTATTGTTTCAGTTTTGTCAACACAGTATGATCAATAGTATCACACAGGTTGTTCAACTTCTAACACCTGCATCGCTATCAATACGATTGTACATCGTCATATGACAGGAAACTACTCTTATAATTGATGAGCGTAACAGTACGTATATTGTACATACACATACAGTGTGTGCGTGTGTGTGTGTGCGTGCGTGTACAGTAAAATAAGAGAATGACGAACTCAACGGGACCACTTATTTTAGTTCGTTATTGTGAGTGAGTATGGTTTAACGCCGCTTTCAGCAATATTCCACTATTATCAAGGCGGGGGCACTAGAAATGGGCTTCACACAATGTAACCATGAATCGAAGCCGGGTCTTTGGATGTAACCTCTTAAACTTTAACCTCTAGGTCACCCACCCCCCGCCCTAGTTCGTTATAAGCATTTGGACTTCATATATGCATATGTTCCATATGCATCAATAAACAAACGAACAAACGCTGAAAGCATCCATCGACATATGAGGGAATCAATGGTAACACACACACACACACACACACACACACACACACACACACACACACACACACACACACACACACACACACACACACACACACACACATATCTGCCAAATATATACAACAGTGTTTTATGGGTCTCTCATATCTGAAAATAAGCATATTCAATTTGGTTGGGCAGTTTTATTTCAGTTTCACTCATTCGTGTGTTAATGCTCTAGAATAGACCGTGACATGGTGGTTTTAAATCATTCATTGAAACACATCAACTTGTTAAAATATTTGCGAAATGCTGAATACATCAGACCAGCGTTCCTGCCACCAGGAGTAGATTTATTATCCTCGCCTTACAACGTTGCCAACATCCTAATCTTCCAGACACATCTAGTGTCTAATGTCAATTAACAGTGCTCTTTTCAATGGCGTGCTTTACAAGAAGGATACATTGCTTCGGAACTCGTGTCTTTTTGATGTGATTCATTTCAAATTTCAACTCATAAATCAGCCTGCATGTTTTCAGAAACTCACAAAAATAACATTTTAGTAGTTACTTGTATTTGTGACGTAAATCAAGATTGAAGTTAAAGTGATAAAAGAGCCCTTAAGGTTGTTGCTAGATAAGAAACACCTCCCCAGTTGAACCAAATGTGTAAATCCGTAAACAGAATGCTCACGTTTCCATAAACAAGCCAATAAAATGTTGCAGTATAAATAATTATAAATAAATTTTCAGAAAATGAACCAAAAAATGATTCTAATGCTAAATTTGAAATGCGACTTGCATTGACATCAAATTTCCAATGCAGCTTTTGGTCAGTGGAGTGAAAAAGCTATCATTTTTGTATGTTTGCTGGAATTAAAGAACTGCCCTGCAGGCACAAGAGAATGGCGTACAAAATCGACATTTTGAATCAACTGTCTACATGAGATTTATCCTTCAGGCTATGGTGTAAATTATGTGATTATCGTCTACCACCGATTTTCTGACAAGGGAATCAGTTTTCAAGTGTTATCGTCTCTGTGTTGCTCATGGTACGGTCGATAATTTTCCATGGATATGCTAACTAGATAAGGCGGTAGCCATATCAGCATATTGCATTGGGTGTGTGACATACATCAGCTATACAGATGTAGATGCTGATTGATGGACCAAGAGAAAAACAATGTATGTGACGCCTCTGTTTTGAATTATTACCAGAGAAAAACCCACACATACAACCTTTTTAATCTGCCATGCAGATCCTGAAACAAACATATCCAAGAAAGCACATGCAAGTCTAGAATATGTTGCAAGTCTACATAACCACAGATTCAGGTGTTTGAAGAAAGTTTCTGGGCTCCTTTTCCTTATATTTTATGATTATTATTTATGAACCGTTTTTTCCGTATAATATGTCTGATACTATTTCATAGACTAAATGTTAGACTACACCCTTGTCTTCAGCAACCGAAATGGATGCTTGTCGCACGAGGCGACTACTCAGGTTCAGACTCGCTAACCTGGTTAGTGTATGTCATCGTTCCCCAATCACTGGGACTCTCTGGGGCGGTGGGGTAGCCTAGTGGTTAATGCGTTCGCTCGTCACGCTGAAGACCCAGGTTCGATTCCCCACATGGGTACATTGTGTGAAGCCCATTTCTGGTGTTCCCCTCCGTGATATTGCTGGAATATTGCTAAACGTGGCTTAACACTAAACTCACTCACTACGTCTCTCTACACTCGTAATATAGCTTCAGTATTGCAGTGTGCGTCTCTTTTAACAATGTAGAACATTTTATGTACACTTGAGGACACTACTTCATGAACCGAATTTATACGCGACTGTAAACCATGTATGCAGTTGGTGAATGTTACGCTTTGAATTACAAATGTAAGCGTCAATCAATAATTATTAATTATAAGTGGGTACTGTAGTACAGCTGGAGTTTACATTGATGATAACAGTTGTATCATACACCAGATGGCGACGAATCTTGGAATGTGAAATAATTATGTCGTTTCTGGCAAGGCATCCTTTTAAAGTTTGTAAATTTACGACAAACATCAATGAAACAGTATATCATCAACTCACTGAACAAAGTTAGTTACCTTAACAAGGTGCATGTTAAAAAGCAAATTGTGCAAATTCGTGCGTGAAAGTGGACATCAACCGGTTTGATAGATTAACTGGGGAATGTAATCTACACATTGGAGTGTTTATTACAGTGGAATACATCAGTACTCCCCTTTCAACAATAACACGGCAATTTGTGATTTCTGCCTTTCTATTACCGCAGAACTTATAACTCTTTAAAAAATACGGCGCTAGAATGGCTCCCTGTCTATGTCCAAGATTCAGTTCAAGGTTCGTTTGATAACCCGAACACAACAAATCTCATCATGTTCTTCTACGTTCCATTCTACTAGTACTGTGTTATATTTTTAGATTTGGCCTTGTCCATAAAATAACAAAATAATCATATCACTGGTTTAAGGACACTCGTGAAGGTCCAGGTTAGAATTGGTTATCAGCAATCCATGCTTGTCATTAGAATCTCGCTGACTTGGTTCACACATGTCATCGTATCACAACTGCGTAGATCGATGCCCATGATGTCAAGCACTGGATTGCCTGGTCCAGACTCGATTATTTACAGACCACCGTCATATAGCTGGAAATGGCGGCATGAGGCGTTAACTAACACACAAAATACCATGATCATATCTTGTAAAGTTTGTCAGGTCGTTTTTGCATGCCAATTGTCTTTCTGTAGTAACAAATCCATTCATACATGTGAGCAAAATAAGGCACTTGTCAGAGCTCAGTAAACACCGAGCCAGTATGAAGAACCCTGTTTCATTCTTCTTTTCCGTTTCCGGTCGGTAAAGGGGGTTCTGTCTCTGCTTTGAAGAAGTGGTTGAACTGAGTCCAGTCATTGTCACGTCCATACACAACTGCCCTGTACAGCAGGAACTCCAACATTCGGATGTCTCTCGGGGTCACTTTGTGGAAACTGATCGGCAACTTGCTGCAGCACATCATACCCTGAAACAACCGAGGATTCATAAACCTAGATTTATTTCAGCGTGTGTCTACTTAATCAGAAAGGTGTCCAAACAGTAAATCAATGGTCATGGGTTCCTGTCCAGCCGAAAGTCAAATGTCTCTCAAGGGATGTATTATTCTATTATCACAACTTTGCCTCCAGATTTTGTTTAGCACCTCGTGATGGAACTGACCAGCGTTAAATTTGAAATATTTAGGACTGGTGTTGTTTACAATGGTGGTATGTCAGCGAGCTCATGTGTTTATTGGACGTATCACATTGCAAAGTCCATAGATTGCCATAAACGTGATGGGCTTCATAGGATGTGATATACGTGAAGGAATGGGATAGAATGTTTTAAAAGCAATAGATACTTTCAAATGATATAGTGAAGAAATATGTCACCGAACACCTAAACTCACATACAATGAAACTATCCATGTAACTGTGGTCAAGGTAAACCTGAATCAAGGAAGAAACGCTAAAACGCCATCACTGTGATTGTCAGATTCACAAACATTTTATACATCCCCTGACATATTATAAACTTGCTGAAATACGTTTCAAATGGGTGTTAAAACGACATCACTCTCTCACGAACTTGACGTCTTACCGTTTTAGCCGGGTGTCGATCATACAGGTGTAACTGTTTAGGAAGGGTCCCCATTATGTAGTCTCCAAGGTTAAAAGGGTAGAAGGTCTCCCGACCAGTGTTGTCTAGAGAATTATACACAGGCACGCCAACCTTCTTCAAGCATACCGCTAAATCCACGTCCTCGTAACGACCTCCCTTCCGGCACGCACCCTGCACCAAACGGGACAATATGTGGACAATCATATAAAACGTTACTCTCAAATAATACGCTGTACGAGGCACGTTAAAACTCTGTCACTCATTCGCAACGGCCTGTTCATATCAACATGTAGATGTGACGTGTATTCACGAGAGAATACATATCCGTACCTCTATGGCAATAAACGGAATCTAGAATCACGACAGATCGTTTCAATGGTAAAGTGTGTAACTGGCATTTTCGATTTTGTTTTTCTAAACAATAGCTCGAGCTATACAAACTTGCCGTTATTTATTTTCCGCATCCAAATTTCAATGTTCAAGATTACAATTATCCTCACTACTAATACGAGGGTAAATGACAGGAAAATAGTAAATTGTTCGTGATTATCCTGATCCATCCTAAAACGACGTTTGTGATCTTGTGCATATTCTACATAATGATAAGTGAGGTGAGGTGGAATTGGGTTTAACGTCGCGCTGGAGAATATTTCGCTCATATGACGACGTGCATGTGTGTGTATGTGTATGTGGGGCTGCTTGTACTAGCCCAGACTGAAGCTGGTTTTATAGTGCTAGCTCACTGAGATACCATGACGCAGTGAAGCATGAATACCCCACTCAGACACATTATACTGACTCCGAGCCGACCAGTCCTTGTTGTACCCATTAATACCGAGCGCCAGGCAGGGACCAACAAGTACCATATTTTAACATATTTTGGTATGACGCGGTCGGGGATCAAACCCGCGACCTTCCGCCCTCCGGGCGGACGCTCTAACCACTACACATAATGATAAGTACCTCTTATCGTTTGTCCTCAGGGGCGGTGGGGATAGCCTGGTGGTTAAAGCGTTCGCTCGTCATGCCGAAGGCCCGGGTTCGATTCCCCACATGGGTACAATGGTACATTTCTGGTGTCCCCCGCCGTTATATTGCTGTAATATTGCTAAAAGCGGCGTAAAACTAAACTCACTCAATCATCCTCGTTAAACGTAATAAAACATAGTGACCAGTCAATCAGCAATTTGAAGCAAAGATGGCCGAGAACACTGTCGGTGATATTTATTAACCTAACTGACATGACTGACCTTCACATTGTATCCTTGTTCTACTAGTCTGCGTACAGCATGGCGACTGAGGACATACCCGGCACCCCCACTCATGTACCCGGGGTTGAGGAACATCTTGAACAGGTGCCCCAGGTACACCGCCTCATCCGGGTTATAGAACGACAGGAGGTATTTCAGGTTTTCCATGACAATATACGTGTCGTCATCTGCCTTCAAGAACCAATCATAATCCTTCAAATAGTGATCATAGATGTATTTCATTGCTGCTATCGTCTTTTTGGTTAGACGTTTCCGACCTTCCTTGATGTGGAAGTCGATTATAGAATGTCCAGGTGTGGTGATGTTTGTTGTCATGATGAAGATCTTGTTGTCGCATCTTCTCGCCCAGGTCTCGTTCAATGCAGGGATTTTGTTATTCAGTGCCTGTTCTTGTGTGGTAATCCAGCAAAATACCCGGATGTGTGACGTGTTGTGTTTGGCTGTAGGTACATCAGCTGCTGGAACAGTAAGCAGATTAAACGTGGGCTACGAGCTTCATCATAATCTCAGTATACAATGTATGCCGTACGCTGAGTGAACTACGAAAGAAATCTATCGAAGACACTTCAAATAACCCCCACTGTGCTGGAAAACAAATATATTTCCAAATCGTTTTTCTTTACTTGTAAGCAGTAGTCGTCATTCAGAATTAACAACTGGATTTTTTTTTTACACATGTCAGGTATGTTTACATGATTGGCAGGAGAACTGCTGTGTGGCATCAGGCAATAAATACCTAGTACATGTTTTAGACAAATTGTGTGATTGGCGTATGCTAGTGGCAGGGTAGGACATGCTTAGTCTATTGCTAACACATGGTGTCATATGATTTTCACAGATACATCTGCCAACTGGAATCTGATGATATTGTTCTTTTGTACTGACGTTCTGTATTAACAGGGGACGTTTTTAATGTCCAAACATCATACAGAGATTCCGTTGACGTACATAAATTCCTTCATGAGTGTCTGTCAGATACTAGTATCATTTATCTGACACCGATTTTTTAAGACTTTATATACGTTTCGAAACAATGCCTTGTAAGATAAATAGTGTCTGATAGGCCCGAGAGCAGCCATTTGGGTTGGGTTTTTAATATATGCTAGAAAATTTGATTTACGAATAAATACAAACTTTCACGTTACCGGCCGATAACAGCAAATTTACGGTCCAAAGCCGCCAATGATGTTCGTATCAAATATATTACCAAAGAATTTTTTTTTTTTTTTATTTCATCCACATCAAATATGATTGACGCTTTCTGTGCCGCACAGTTTATTTCATCAGGGTTCAGAGAGTGTATGATCTGAAATCTCAACGCTGAGCTGTCTGAAACAGCTGGTCCTAGGGCAAAGATTTTGGTAAGCTCGTAACACCCCGTGCAACCTTTAGCGGCTTAAATAGCGAAATAAAAGATCATGATCATATACATTCTTCGTGCTGTGTTTATGGTTTGGTATATGGAATATCAGCGTCCTACTGCTCCCCATCGCTACGATGTTATCCACTCAAATATTGATGTTTGTAAGTTCTATGTTACACTTTTACCATTTCAAAAACGGTATCTACCTTTATGGAGCAATAACTCAACTTATGAACCAGTTTATCATACAGTCTGGATATCTTGTAACTACCTCAAAGTGCTGTATGTACATGGGTGTACACGGACGTTCGAAGGGTGTACACAAAAGTTCAACTGGTAAGTGAGTGACTGTGATTGTACGCCGCTTTTAGTGAGTGAGTGAGTTAATATTTAACGTCACATCGGCAATATTTCAGCCATATTGTGACGAGAACATTTTACATTGTAATGGGAAATGTATATATTATAAAACCTGTCATCGAAGGACAGTAAAACAACTAGGATATCACAATTAGATTTAAAACTAGTGTGGAAGGTTAAAACTAATAGCACTATTAGGACAATACAAGATAAAAACAGGCTATAGATCGCCAACAACTGAAGGTAGATCACCATACTAAGGCCCATGGGGACTTACATTACCTTTGCTACCTGCATGGACCCTAGCTGGATTTACACCATCCCTTCAGCCATTGGCGTTTATACCGAGAATTAGCCATACATTAAAATGACAAAAATACTACGATTAAAACACCTGGTATACCTAAATGTACTTGAAATGTTTTGGGACTTACGTACCCTCTCAGGAGGACAATAATTTTACGCTACGTCAACCCCCTTTGAGGGTACAGCCGCTAACAATCTCAGTGACTAATTTAAATTACCAATAATAAAATATTTATCTATTTACAAATCAGTTAACAAATCTAATTCTTTTAAAAATTCAACTATTAAATGATAAATTATATTAACATTATAAAAAAGATCCTTCAATGTTTTGACATTAAAATACTTATCCCTTGTGATGGAATATTCTACACAGTCAAGCAGGACATGCTTGACCGTGATTCTTTCATCACAAGGGATGCAAAACGGAGGATCCTCACCTTTCAATAGGTACTCATGAGTATATCTTGTGTGGCCAATACGACATCGTCGTATGATGACCTCTTCAAATCTGGACTGACAACCCAAGTAGGTGTAACCAATATAGGGTTTTATTGCATGTAATTTATTGATACCTACTTGGGTATCCCACTTCTTTTGCATCAGATCGCGGATGTATGTTTTAATGCTGGCTTTATAATCAGAGTATGGGATCAGAAGTGGTGTCATAGAATTGTTGAGTGCTGCCTTAGCAGCAAAATCGGCCATTATATTCCCAGAAATGCCAACGTGGCTGGGTAACCAACAGAGGACGATGTCGTATTGGCCATTTGCAAGATCATTATATAATTCTATAATTTCTATTAAAAGTGGATGTTTACAAGAAATATTTTTAATGGCCTGAAGGCAAGAAAGAGAGTCAGAAAATATGATATATTGTTTATATTTAGGGTGTCTATTTATATATTTAAGAGCTGTTAGTATTGCGTTTGCTTCAGCTGTGAAAATTGAACTGTCATTGGGTAATCTGGAAGATATTGTTCTGGACCCAATGACAGTGGCACAAGCAACCGCGCCACCATCCTTGGACCCATCTGTAAATAAGGATTTATATGTATTATATTTACTTTTTAATTGATTATATTCTTGTTTATATTGCACCATTAGTTTCTGCTTTCTTAAACTTAGTCAGTGTGAGGTCGACCTGTGGCCTAACCAATTGCCAAGGAGGAGAAGAAAGAAGACGGGAAGGAGATATATTTTCCAGCTCAATGCCGGCAGCAGTAATGAATGGCTTAATCCTGAGCCCAAGAGGCTGAACAAGAGAAGATTTCTTGTTGTACAAGTCCTCATAAAGAGGATTAAAGATGCACTGAAACGCAGGATTAGACTCGTTAGAATATAGCTTGGTAATATACTGTAATGATAATTTTATACGGCGTTGGGTAAGAGAAGGCTCATCTGCCTCGACGTAGAGACTGTCAACAGGAGATGTTCTGAAGTACCCAATACAAAGTCTCAGACCTTGATGGTGGACTGAATCTAAGAGTTTTAAGTTGCTTTTACAGGCTCCACCATATACGATGGAGCCATAATCAAGCTTCGAGCGGACAAGTGATCTGTAAAGGTGTAGGAGCGTAGCTTGATCCCCTCCCCACCTTGAATTAGACACGACTTTCAATAAATCGAGTGCCTTCAGGCATTTAGTTTTTAGGGATTTAATATGCGGAAGAAAGGTTAAATGGGAGTCGAAAATCAGACCCAAGAATTTTGCCTCTTTGACAACCTTGATGGGAGTGCCATTTAAAAACAGTTCTGGGTCTTTATGAGGCTTATATTTATGAGGCCGTTCAATAGTATGCATATTCTTACCGCGACAAGAAATGTTAAAATCATCCACAAAAAGTGATCCATCAATGGAATCGTTTAAAACCTTGGATAAACTGTTGATCTTTATGCTGAATAAAGTGACAGACAAAATACTCCCTTGTGGGACACCCTGATCCTGATTGTAATGGTCAGACAGGGTTGAACCCACTCGGACTTGAAATTGTCTGTCTTTTAAAAACTGTGATATAAAAAGAGGTAAACGACCCCTTAAACCAAAATCATGTAAATCCTTTAAAATGCCATGCTTCCAGGTGGTATCGTACGCTTTCTCGAGATCAAAGAATAGCGATACTGCATGTTGTTTATTGACTATTGCATTTTTGACAAAGGATTCTAAGCGTACCAAATGATCCATGGTACTACGATTTTTCCTGAAACCACATTGAATATTTGTAATAAGGTTATTGGTTTCAAGATACCAAGTTAATCTATTATTCACCATACGTTCCATGGTTTTACAGACACAGCTAGTTAGAGATATCGGTCTGTAATTAGACGGATCTGTATGATCCTTGCCGAGTTTTGGTATTGGGACTACAATGGCATTACGCCATGAAGGGGGAAATTCCCCAGACGTCCATATTTGGTCAAATATATCTAAAAGTGTCATCAGACATGGTTCAGGTAAGTGTTTCAGTAGCTGATAATGTATATTGTCATCCCCTGCTGCAGTGTCATGAGCTTGCTCAAGAGCAGTATGTAGCTCATGTAATGAAAACACTTCATTATAATCTTCACCGTTATGTGATTCAAAATTAAGTTTTGTCTTTTCCTGTTGTTTCTGATATCTCTGAAACTCAGGGACATAGTTTGCCGATGAAGAATTTTTGGAAAGGGTTTCGCCAATTTTATTTGCAATTTTAGACTTGTCAGTAATTAAATTATCACCATCTTTAAGATGATGAACAGCAGATTTTGAACCTTTGCCTTTTATTCTCTGAATCATGTTCCACACCTTAGACATGGGTGTGCGTGAATTTATTTTGGAGACATATTTCCTCCAAGATTGTCGTTTGTTTTGTTTGAAGGTACGACGGGCCTTCGCATTGAGTATTTTAAATTTATTTAAATTATGAACAGTTGGATGATGGCGGAAATAATGTTCTGCCTTTTTCCTCGCTTTTCTGGCTTGTCTGCAGTCTGTATTAAACCATGGTTTCCGTACGTGTGGAGTTGTAGAGGAATTCGGTATACCCTCATCAGCTATTTCCTTTAAAACGTCAGCAAAAATCTGAATGGGATCAGGTACGTCACTGAAGAATTCAGGTCGTAATTTCGATTTACATATAGTTTGAAATAAGGTCCAGTTAGCCTTCGAAAAGTTCCATCTTGTATATGATGGAGAATCAGATGGAGTTATTTCTGAAAGAATAGTTGGGAAGTGATCACTTCCACAGAAGTCACTATGGACAGACCAATCAAATTCATTTAGGAGGTTAGAGTCTGCAAGAGACAGATCTAGAGAAGAATAGGTTCCGGTTGCAGGATGCAGATAGGTGCTTGAATCATCATTGTATATACATAGATCATTATTGGAGATACAATCTTCCAGTATTTTGCCTTTAGTATTAGTGTTATTACCACCCCATAGCGGGTTGTGACCATTTAGGTCACCCATAATAACACAGGGCTTCGGGAGTTGGTCATAGAGTGACTGCAGATCAGTCTGCTGAAGTGCCCATGAAGGCGGAATATATACAGAGCATAATGTAAATGCTACACCCAGAGTAAGTCGCACTGCAACAGCTTGGAGGTTAGTTTTAAGTGTAACAGGACTGTGAATAACACCCTGCCGTACAAGTATAGAAGATCCTCCAGTGGCCCTATCACCAAGAGGAGAAAAATAATGATATGCTGTAAACTGGCGTAAAGTAAAATCATCCGTCTGTTTAAGATACGTTTCTTGCAGACAGAATGCTGATGGTGTTAGATCCTGGACTAATAGCTGTAGTTCATTAAAATTAGTCCGTAGACCTCTACAATTCCACTGCACAATATCAGTAAAATGACCTATCTTTTGGGTGGATTGATAGGGATCTACCCTAACTTCTTCGAGGGCGACGAGCTATGTGCCCTGGGGTAGGAGTTTTCGGACACTTCCATGTCCTCAAGTGATCCGTATTTATTGAATATGTTGATTGGATTTTCTGACCCCTTTGGGGGTCTGCCACTTTTTTTCGCTGTCTGTTCTTGGTTTATGAGAACTTTGAACAGTGTTCTTTGAATTTGTTTTCGATCGAGTTGGTTGGGCTGACTGAGATGATGAGGTTTCCCCGGATAAAGATGAATCCTGACTAGATGACTGTGATGGAACTTCAGACAGGATGTCCACGGTATTTCCAGAGGTCAAAGTCTGAGTAGACTGTTCAGGTGTGAGTGACTGAGGTTTGGTGGTTTTTACCCACGTCAAGTCTGTTTGACAATGTATTGAACAGGTGGGTACTGATAAGGTGTTTACCTTTGGGTCTGTGTCCGAAGATGATCTTGCAACCTGATGCATACGAACCACATGGTGCTGTTGTTGATTCAACAATTTTTTGCATCAGCGAAGCTAATATTTTGGGTAAATTTGATTTTAGAAATTTCCATTTGTTTTTCCAAATTGGGCAGTCTTTGAGAAGGAAGAATGACTTCCTGTACAGTTTGTGCACTTCTTTGGTACTATTACAGTCTTCTGTAACATGTGTAGTCTCACTGCAGTGAGCACACGTTATTGGTTTTGTACAGGTGTTAACACCATGGCCATATTTTTGACATCTAAAAACATCTCAAAGGATTTGGGATATAGATGCCAACTGACATATTGCAGTAACCTGCCTTGACTGACTTTGGAGGATTTGGGTAAGAGAATGAAAAAGAGGTATGTGTTGGTTTGAATGGTTTCGTTGTTTCTGCGGGTCGTAAACCGTTTCACATATATTACTCCCTGGTCTTTCATTTCAGAAACAATGTCTAATTCAGACATATCAGCCAACAGTCGATCCTTGTCTCTGATTATACCTTTAGTGGTATTTAGTGTTCTATGGGCAGAGACTATAACAGGAACTCCAACAAACATATCCGTAGATAGCAGGTTGGTCGCTTGCTGTTTTCTGCTACATTCAATCAAAAGTGATCCTGAACGCAAGCGTTTGATGTTTCGTACCTCTCCTGCTATTCCGTTGACACCTTTAGAAACGCAAAAGGATTAAGTTTCAAGGGAGTCTTATCCGGAGTTTCCATAATCAAAAATCGTGGCCAATAATCAACAGAATTACAAGGTCGCTGTTCCTCATCAATGTCGAGTGGACGTTTTGTCTTTTTTGAGGGTGTTTGGTACTCCATGTTTAGTTTATATTGGTTCATCATCCGAGCTCCCCACCCACCATGGAGTGTCGTAAAGACGGTGCTAATTACAAGTGGATCTCCGACTTCCAGCACCAGGGATACCCGGATGATATACTCCAGCAGAAAAAATAAAAATAATTAGTCTACCAGATTGGCCCATGAGCCAACGCCTTCTGGCACAGGCATCTAGGCAAATTTTCGCAAATTTGAAAATCAATGTATCAGTATCAAATATATATATATATACAAAACAAATCATGTCAAATATTATGTTCAAATACAACCGAGCCAAAAAATGATAGAACAATGAAATTGAGTGCTCAGGGCTCAGCATGACCAGCCGATTGGTTGAACCGGGCCCATTCAACCACCCGTCTAGGTGAAGTAAGGGTCGAAGTGGTGTGTTGGGCAAAGGAACGCTGTTCCTGGACCCAGTGCCCTCAACCACCAGAATCCCGTCCTCCACCGACACAGGGGCGCAACCCACGGCAAACGGGTTGGTGGACCAAATATACCCCCGGGTCCACAACGGGGGGTTGAAGGGCGCTTAGCATTACCCAGCACCCACCACGAGGAGGTGGCCCTTCATGGGTGCCACGCCGCTTTTAGGAATATTCCAGAAATAATGGGTTCAAACATTTTACTCATTTAACGGACACGTGTTTAGAGTATTATTGTTGCTACTTCACAAGTTATAATGATTTATTATTGATAATTACGTTTATGTGATATTAATACATTATTCTTGTGGATGCAAACTTCGCTAATCATGAGAGACGTCATATCAAATTGTATGTAGTCATGATCCCGAAAATCAGGAGCAGATGATTTCTACTGGGTTATACGACGCATTGATTATCCATTATTCTGGCAAGTAGTGCGAGCAACTGGACAATCAAATGACGTCTTCCCCTAATGGTGAGGTGAGGTGAGGTGAGGTGAGGTGACACGGGGTTTAACGTCGCACTTGAGAATATTTCGCTCATATATGACGACGTGCATGCGTGTGTATGTGTGGCTGCTTGTACTAGCCAAGACTGAAGCTGGTTTTATAGTGCTAGCTCACTGAGATACCATGCCGCAGTGAAGCATGAATACCCCTCTCAGACACAGTATACTGACTCCGAGCCGACCAGTCCTTGTTGTACCCATTAATGCCGAGCGCCAGGCAGGGACCAACAAGTACCATATTTTAACATATTTTGGTATGACGCGGTCGGGGATCAAACCCGCGACCTTCCGCCCTCCGGGCGGACGCTCTAACCACTACACATAATGATAAGTACCTCCGAGCCGACCAGTCCTTGATGTACCCATTAATGCCGCGCAGCAGGCTGGGACCAACAAGTACCACAGTTTATCATCTTTTGGTATGACGCGGCCGGGGTTCGAATCCGCGACCTTCCGCTCTCCGGGCGGACACTCTAACCACTACACCACGGAGGCGGTCCTTCCCCTAATGATTCATCAAAGAAATGTTTCTGTCAGACACTACATCCCCCAGACGCATGTGTCTATAGGTGATCTCTAGTCCACGGTGATTTGCTTTTAGAATAGTATCGGGGGCGGTGGGGTAGCCTAATGGTTAAAGCGTCCGCTCGTTACGACGAAGAGCCGGGATCGATTCCCCACTGTACATGGGTACAATGTGCGAAGCCCATTCCTGGTGTCCCCCGCGGTAATATTGCTGGAATATTGCTGAAAACGGCGTAAAACTATACTCACTCACTAGAATAGCATCTGTAGAAGCCGTAAAGAAGACAAACATACCTTTGTGTACATACCGCGCCTTCAACCAGGGCTCTGAACCTTTGAATCCTTAAGAGAGAAAGCAACGATGATGACATCAGCTTTTCACGCAAGACTAATAAATGGTTAATAGATTCAATTCAAAACTTAAATCAACAGAAATCCCATCTGTTTCTCCAGCTGTGCCCGATATCCAGATTGATGTATGAGCGTGTTTGTAAACACATATTAAGTGTATTCCCCTTCTGCCATGCAAGTTTTGTTTTGACTTGTACAGCTGTACAATATACCCCCCTTGTTTTGTTTGCTTGTTTGTTTGTTTTGCAGGTAAACAACTGACTTGCCCCTGCACGTGTTTGTCGCTAAGATGATTTGTATGACAGCACGTCCAACGAAACCTGGAACACACTGACGCTGCAGGTGACACGTGTTTCCTGTGATCGATATATGATTACCTGAATCTGTAAGTCAGCTCCTGGGCATATCCTTTGTGCCGGTACTTGTAATCGGCAGTCTAGATCCATTTCTATTTATATACCTTCGCGTCGATATTTTAGATGAGTCTGCATGTGCGTCCTTGTTCTTTCATATTTATGGCATATGTTTTCTGTTTATCCCCATTGACGGTGCATGTCTATATGGTTTGTTTTTATTGATGTATGAGCAAGCTTTGTGTAGTGTTATCTCCAGACTCTATATAATACGTTTCATACTCTCATTCATTCATTCACATTAAAGCCAGGCACTCAGCGATTCACGCACTAACGTACACTATTATTAGAAAGTCTTCAGTCTTGAACATTTGTATGTATTTCCGCATTAAGTCTAACACAGTCACACATTAGTATACTAGCTAGAGTGGCAGTATTACCATAAGGTATGATTCTCTCACTAAAGGCGAAACCATATACATGTATATCCGTGAAGTCTTAAAATGGCATATGGACCGGAGGGTCTAATCTTATTTCACATCAGTACCACAAACTAAACCTTAAATGTATATCCCGCAGACACAGACCGGAAGTGGAGGTTGTGTGGGTTGTGATGGTTGTGCGGGGGTGTAGACGGGCCTCTATTTTCATCCATACAGGATCACACAACATTCGCAGCATCTCAACACATATTCAAAACGTGTCTTAGCATGATAAACACATTTATATGATTTAGTACAAAATATCACACCAATCACGGAATATTAATACATCTTCGAATTAATGTGGTTTAAATGTGAATGTTTTTCATGAATCATTACAGATGGGTAAATATATCAATCTATCAACATAATAAACTCCTACCTTTCCAGTGCAGAAGCTTGCCGGTGCTGAGAGCGAGGTAAAGAAACACAAGGTAGAAGGAAACTACCACCAGTGCGAAGAAACCAAGTTTGACTTCCTTCATGGAGACACGTCATTCAAACATACGAACTAGCACCAGCCTGCTTGAGGTATTCATCTGCAAATAATGACGTTAACACAACACCTTTGTACGCCATTGGTGTTTTAGTTTGACTAATTCCACTTAAATTGTCCGATCCAGACCAAATGCATGTAGTCGTTTATTAACATGAAACTGACATAGTGTATGCTGATCAATACGATGGAGTCGATGTACATTGTGGACGACAGCGTGCACGACGTACGCCAATACGTCAATAACAGATGCTGCCATCCCGTGCACAGATGACGGTAGTGCTTGACGTTTAACTATGGCAAGCAGCAGCATAGTGTAGGTGATGTGGAGCACTGGTTTACAGATGCTCTTTGCTCAACGATCTGATTGTTTACTAGTAGTTACTATAGATTCTATGTGCGAAATTTTGATATTGTCTGTGTTTTTGTGGTAATTTAGCTGACTGCATTTGTATCTGAGTTACCAGACTTAAACGTGTTTTTACTGACTTGAATCCAACGTGCTCGGACTGCCAGTCCTCCCGTGCCCATACGGTGCATATTAATCAATGTATTGACTTCCGCGTAATACCCATACTTTTCTGGTTTATATGGATACGGTAATAAAATATAATGTTAGGGGGACCTCTGTGGTGAAATATAACATCTTTGGTGGAATAGATTGTTTTGGGGGACTTCTTTGGTAAAACGGTTTGAAAGGACAACTTCGTAAGTCAATTATATTGTTTAAGTCAATTCCGTCAGTGAAATATATGTTTTATGTGGATTCTATGTGCGATATGAACGGTTTATGTGGATGAAGTTAAATATGGTTTTCTTAGATTCTGAGGGGTATATATGGCTTAGGGACATTGTATGGGTCGTATATATGGTACTTGTATTCCATGGATGAAGTATATAGGTTTACTCCGTTTCCAAGGATGATGGTTTAGGGAATGTCCGTGGATGAAATGTGTGGTTTACGGGGATTCCGACTGTGAAATATGGTTGAGGGGGAATTCGGTGGTCCAAAAAGTAAGGTTAAAGTGGATTCACTGGATGATTTGTTGTACTTCGATGGGATATGTGGCATTCTGAGAGTGAAATATATGGTTTAACGGGAATTCCGTTAATGGAATATATGTTGATTCCGTAGATTAAATATATAGGTAACAGGGATTTCGTTAAATATGCGGTTTATGGAAATTCCGTGGACAGATGATATTTGTTTGTGGGTTCCGAAGGTAAACATTAAAGTTTTGGGGTATCCTCTGGATGAAATACGTTCATCAACTCTAAGCGTACTATTGCTTAAGGTTGTACCAGGAAACTGTTTGCTAACTTGATTTTCTGAAAAGGAAGTACCGCGGGAAAATCGCTGACTGATAATTGTTATTTAACGCTATGTTTGGGGCATTTACCATATATGAATATATTATGTATCTAACAAAAGTCCTAAACTAACGTAGTGAAATTCAGTGTGCATAGCTACGTCACTAAACAATACAGGAATTCATTGACAGTGGGTTCGAATCCAAGATTTTCGTCGTTAATAATTCTCTCTCAGCGCCACACCCTTGCTCTTGTGTTGCACGAAAGTGGGTAGGTAGTATGTCATGTGCACTTTACGAGTATGTCATGTTATATCTTAAGCAAAGAGTGATCGAAGAGGTGTTAAACAAATGATTAACACTCGCTCGCTCGCCCGCCCGAAACACCGACTCATACCAACTCACTCACCAAGCCACCCATTCACTGACTCATTTCAAAACGACGTACGAGCTCGTCCGGGCCAAGTTGATAGAGACTGGAGAGTCGCGCTGTTGCTATGGCCAATGAGGCCATGTCATACTAAACGACGTTAAAAATGGTGCATTTGGTCCTGCCCTACCTGGTGGTTTGCTATTCAGGAGAAATACAGCTGAATTTAGGAGAAGATTCAACAAACACAGAAACATAGAAATGCGTATTCACCAACCTTCACAGCAAGGCATCAAATGAATAGGCCATGTTGTGTCATTAAACATGTATGGATCAATAAAATGTATGATTTAACCAAAACCTTTAATCTTAGACAATCCTGCAAGGGACATTACGGGACTAGAAGTCCAAGCATGGGATGTAGACACCGGGTGTTGTGGATGTTAAGTATGGCGGATACACGTGTAACTCAGTGTGGGGTGTAGACACACATATTTACCAAATACAGCTGCTGTGTATGTCAGATCGTGCCGGGTATGGCGATGAAATGCGTATTTTCAGTTGTCATCGTTCTTGTACTGTGTCGGCGAGTATGCTCAGGTATGTGTAGACTGGTATATATTTTAAAATTAACACTATTTACATTGGTTTCTTATAGCCTGGTATGATGTCTCAATTAAAATAAGACTTATATTGGGTGTGTAATTTAACATGTAATTATAAAATAAACGTGGTAAATGACATTTGAAACCCCAAATTTGGCAAATTCTCTTATTACACTGGGATGAAAGTTTCGTCCTTTATATGTGAAAGTAAGAATATTGGTACATGTCATATATAAATAGTATATTATTTCTTGACATTAACCTTATCGTTCCGTTTTTATTAATACTAGGAACATTATTTTTTTTATTTGTGATGATGATGATAATAATGATGATGATGATGATGATAATGATGGCAATTATTTAGAAAGTGGTCAGATGTAACACAGTAGTAGTAGTAGAAGTAGCAGTAGTAGTAGTAGTAGTAGTAGTAGTAGTAGTAGTAGTAGTAGTAGTAGTAGTAGTAGTAGTAGTAGTTTCACCGCAATATACACACTACTGCAGTTAAGGATGGTGCTGCAACACGATATTTTTCCCGGTACAGGTGGACCTGACTCCGGACCTGTTCTCCTGACAGTGACCGAAAACGGCGAAATCGTCAGGGACCATATCAAAATGAAACCGGTATATTTCCTTTATTGACTGATATGCCACTTTGAGATGTTTTTATCATAATCAAATCACACGGTGCTTTCTCATCACAATAGTTCGAAATAGTTCAATAAATATATCCAAAAAAGCTAAATACACTGCCGATTACTCATATCAGTGATATCGTTGTTGTTTTTATCAGAAATAGCTGTAAAGTTAAGGGAACAGCCTAGTGGCTTAAATGTCGGGTCGTTACAGGATTCGAGTTCCAATGTGTGAATCCTAATCATTGTCACCCCGGTGAAATGGCTGGAGCACAGTTTAAATCTGTACTTCCACACTTACCGTGGGTCAGTGGGCTTGCTTAGTGGTTAAAGTGTTTGCTCGTCACGCCAAACGCCTGGGTTAGATTACCGACATGGGTACAATCATAAATGAAACCCATTTCTGGTTCCCCCGCCGTGATAGTGCTATAATGTTGCTTTAAGCGGCATAAAACCGTACTCACTCACTCACTAACATCAACGGTTGGATTGCGGTAAAGCGCGATTACACATGATGGGACAATGTGTGGAGTACAAAGCGTGGACCACCAGCTATGTTGTAGATCTCCAAATAATCTGGACCAGACAATCAAGCGATGAGCATCGATCAACGCAAATTGGATACCATGGCATGCATCAACCAAGTCACGAAGCCTGACCAACCAACCCCTCTAGTCGCCTCTTACGTCAAGTATGGGTTGCTGAAGACGGATTCTTGCCCGTTGCTGGTCAACTGTAATTGTTAAAATGTTCTTGGGGCGTTTTAAAATCCAGTGTTATGTATGTGTAGAGTACTGACAGCTCTTTCTCTCCCAGATGTCAGGACGTGATCAGCTGGCAAAGTTTCAGTCTGGTCGACGAAAGTCAGAATCGATAGACTTAAAACCCAGTAAAACTCCGGGCCACACGAGGCCCCTCACCTTCACAGAAGACAGACACCATGAGGGTAAGCCATTGTACTACTGACAGCCTAATGATACCGTGGACGGTAAGCCATTGTACTACCGACGGCCTAATGATACCCATGAGGTCCAACCGCAAAAAACCGACACATGGTCAGCTGTGTCCATTTCCCCTTGGGTCCATTCAACCATCAACATACTTCTGGGGTTTACCATAATCGTAGCTGTAAGTCATCTTTGTCGAAATATGTAGGCTAAATAGTCATTGGAACAAAGTGGTAATAAACTAGGGTAGAACTCCTAGCGTTAAAACGAGTAACATTCTTACACAGAGTAAAGCGATGCGAACTTATGTTTTCCTGCATCCAAATCATGAAACAGATTAAACAGTTACATAAATGCCTGAACTATAGGCCTGTCTCTAATTTATCCTTCATATCAAAATTGCTTGAGAAGGCAATCAAGGTACGCCTTGTTGATCACTTGACCTTGAATGATCTCTATGACGTGCATCAGTCTGCATATCGCTCCGATCATTCCACAGAGACCGTACTTCTGCATGTGATGGAGAGACTTCTTGCTGCAGCTGATGCGGGCTATGTTACAGTTCTAACGCTGCTTGATTTATCAGCGGCTTTTGATACCATTGACCATGTTCAACTAACTGAGTGTCTGAAAACAGAATTTGGTATTCATGGCACAGCTCTTGGATGGTTTGTCTCATACCTCAATAATAGGACACAATCTGTGGTCATTCAAGACGTGAAATCGTGTACGCATCAGCTTACATACGGAGTGCCACAAGGTTCCGTTCTTGGGCCCATTCTCTTTTCACTCTATATGAAGAATCTCGGCAATATCATTCGGCATCATGTTGTGATGTACGAGTCATATGCTGATGACACCCAGCTGTTGCGTTCCACTAAACCGGACTCACTTCCAGCCGATATGTCTATAATCGAAGACTGTATCCTTGACTCCAAAGCATGGATGATACAAAGGAAGCTGAGATTAAATGACAGTAAGACCGAGGTTTTGCTGTGTGGATCACCCAGTAGCACTGCTAAGGTGGATGTGTCTTCGTTGGTAGTGGGTAATGAGAAAGTTCCTTTCAGTGATTCCGTGAAAGACCTTGGTGTTTTCTAGACTCAAATTTATCCATGGAAACACACGTAAACTCTGTTTGTAAGTCATGCTATTTTCATCTCAGAAATATTGCTTCCATTCGTGATATTCTGACATTTGATGCAGCTCACCACCTAGTTCGTTCACTTGTTCTCTCACGTTTGGATTATTGCTGCAGTCTTCTTGTAAATATCCGCCAAGATCTATTGTCCAAGCTCCAGAGGATTCAGAACTCTGCGGCGCGA